GGCAGCCTCAACCCCTCCCCCACCCCTTTCCCTGCTCCCCAGCAACCTCAGCCCCCACTGGGGCTGGAGAAGTGACTTCAGGCAGCCAGACAGGGGACTTTCTGGGGTTCACCCATGCCCTGGGGCTCTGGGCCACCTCCACCAGCCTGGAGAGGGGGCTCCCTCCAACCCTGGGGGCCGTGCGGCTCTCCACGGCTTCTCCCAGCACATTCTCCAATGGTGGGCGCTCAAGGCTGGAGGTCAGCGCTGGTGTGTTCTCAGAAGCGGACAGACACCGCAGCAGAATCCAGGGCCTGGCGTGCAGAAGTCCCCGCTGGGTGGCATCTGCCGGACCTGCGGCCCTTTGGGCGGTGCAGACATCACAAGGCGTACGAATGACTCTAAATTTTTAATAACTCCCCTGAGAGCCCTTCTTCTACAGTGAGCCAGCCCCCGCCGGCCCTGAGACCTGGCTGGCCAACCAGGACCCATCTACAAACGCGACTCTGCAAAGGGAGGCGCAAGAACACCTCCCGAACCTCCCCCCTTCGGAGTGCTTCCGTCCACACACGCTCACCCACACTCACTTCTCTTCTTCTTCACCCCATACTCACCCCTCCCTCCAGAGTCTCCATGGAGGCTCTCACACCCCACTGGGGCACCTCGGCGCCCCTGCACGGGCCGAGGCAGTGCGCCGGCGCGGGCCTGGCGGGCGCTGCACCTCGGCCCGCGGCGCCCCGTGGCTGCCCACGGATCCTCCGGTGCTAATCAAACCCAGTCCAGAATGCAACTGCAGCTCGCTCCTTGTTCTGGGATGAAATGTGCAAAGCACAGACCATATCATTAACATAAAGCTTCCAGAAATAAGGCCCCTTTCCAGACAGACTGTATTAATTGCACCAAGCTTCCACAGCGAGGGTGGTCCAGTCCACGGCGTCCCATTGGACGGCCCGGTTTTAAAAACCAACACAGATGAACACTGGGATATAGCAGAAGGAGGGGAAAACGATGGTTAAACCCTCCTATTTACTTACAGGTATTCTTTTATCTTTATTGTCCCTTTAACCCAAGCCAAGAAACCCCCGCCTGGTTACACAGCACAGCAAGCAGGCTCTCGGTAGAAAAGTAAATTGAATTTAACTTTACAGGACAGCCCTGTGATTTCAGCAGATACCAGTGACAGCCGCGGACTCCTTCCTTTAAACCCAAACACCCCCGCTTCCCCGAGCTGGGTCCTGTGTGGTCTTGCATGGGCCCTTGAGCTCCACCAAACTCATGTATTTGTATTAATCAGTGTGGCTGCTGACCATTGGCGGCTTTTAGATACGCAGCCGAGTCTCTCGCTTCCTTCTCTACCTCCCAAGGCTGGTAGGGGATCTGCCGCTCAGAACGGAGCCTCGGGGTCCGGCTTGAAGGAAGAGTCCACGCGGTGCCAGAGACGGACCACGCCGTGTTCTGAAGCCCATCTGCTCACCAGTGAGTCGCGATGTCTACAGGGTTCAGCACGGGGCACAGTCCTCCACTCCTGACCTACGACCTCATGCAATCCTCCAAACAGTCCTTCAGAGCATGCACCACCCCCATGTTGCAGGTGGGGAAACGGAGGGAAGGGGCAGGAAATGACTTCTCCAAGGTCACACCTCTCCAAGGTCACACTCTCCAAGGTCACACCGCCATGCGGCACAGAGCGGCCTTCACCCAGGGTCTGACACACTCTCGTGTCTGCCTCTGAATCGTAGACGCCTCCAGGGCACGCTCCCCAAGCCCCAGGCCCAGCCATCCACAGTAACTGTAACTGAAAGGACTAAATGACCCACTTCAGAGATCAATATAAGGAGCCCCGTTTCTAACTGTAACATGTATATCACAGCTATATAGGGTGTCCCCCAACAATGTATACACACACTTTGAATCATTATAAAGGCCGTGTTTATTAAAATACATTTCATTTTCAAAACCGAGCTATCAGCTCTTCAAGTCTGTATACATTTTGGGGGGGACACCCTGTATATGTAGGTGTATGAATATATATATATGGGGAAAATGAGGCTCAGGGTGGGGGGGGCGGGGGGTCACTTGTTCAAGGTCACCAGCCAGGTACAGGAAGGGCCAGGACCACAGCCTGAACCTCTTGACTCCACGGGCCGCCTGGAGAAGTCCCTACGTGGAATTTCTCAGGAAAATCTTCATTTCCTAGGAACGCCTGGACTTGGCTGCCCGTTATCTCAGCGAGTCAAAGAGCAACGGACGCGCAGGGGTCAAAGAAGTCCCTTCCCCCACCCTGACCACCAGAAAGGGGTCTGGGTTGGGGTCCTGGGAGGCGGGGCTTGTGGGGTGCCGCCAGCCCGAGAGGCACACAGCACCATGCCTGTGTGGTCTTCTCCCCCATGAAATCACACCCTTCCATAAAGAGCTGCGAGCGTGTTCCCGGGCAGGCAATTAACCTGCGAGAAACGCAGTTACACCGGGGTTTTCCGTATTAATTTGAAGAGAGAGGTTCAGTGCGTCCAGATCCAGAAAGGGACAAGACACAGTGTGGCCGGCGGCCCCTTCCCCCCTGCACAGAGGCCTGCCTCCTCCTGACGGGGAACTGGGAATGTAATGACTCCATTGCAACTGCTAATTAAACAGGCACTAAACACACTGAAGCAAACAGCCGGTGCCAGGGGCAGAAGCTACAGCGGGAAAAACACCACAGGAACGGGATATTTGCAGGTTGAAATTCATCGGAAAATACGGTGGTGCGACCTGGCGCAGCTGATTCATGGGGACCCGGCGATGAAAGGGGACAGTGCTGGGAATCGGGGTGGAGTGCTGGAGGCTGAGAGCGGGCCCCTGGGGTCAGGAGGAGCGGTCCCAGGGACCCCAGGCACAGACACCCCACTGCCATCAACTCTGGGGGCTGCTCCGGTCTCTGAGTCCTCATAGCATCGAGCTATAAAAGCCGAGGAGGCCTCACACTGAGGAGGCAACGCCAAAGATGGAACAGGTGCTGGCTGAGCAGCCCAGGATCAAATCCCACCTTTGCTCCTCCATCCCCTTTAAAGGGATGTACAGTTCCCTTCCTGCTCCTCCCACCACCGCCAGACTACGAGCAGCGGGAGGGCAGGGACCCCTCGCCTGACTCCGTCTGGGTTGCACAGTGTCTACAAACTAGGTGCCCATGTAGTGGCGTTTTGTGGAGGAATGGATGAGTGAATGAATGAATGAATGAATGAATGAATGAGAGCCGTGAGCCCTCAATGCCTCTGAGCCTCATTCTCTCATCTGTAAAGTGGGGAGTGAACCTACCTAAGGCTGCTGGGAGGATTAAACTCAAGAATTCACACAAAGTGCCTAGAACAAGGCAGCAAACAGTAGGCCCTCAATACACAGCCCTTACAAGGAAGCAGGTGGCACCGCGGCTGCGAGCAGGTGTGTGAGGAACATCCCCCGGATGTAGGCAGAGGCATGTGACTCGGTAGGCAGAGGGTAGCCTTGTCAGGAGGCATCCCGCTGACAAATTCCAGGGCCCCAACCTTGGCCCAGCCACCCTGCCCGAGGCTTTACTTCCCCGTCTGCACAATGGGAGTGGAACAGCTCCCGCACAGCACAGCTGCTTCTAGGAAGAGCTGGAGCCGGCAGAGGGTTAAGCAAAGCCCTGAGCACCGAGGAGATGGTGTGTCTGCACCACAGAACTTGACATTGGGCTGATCTCTGATAGCTCGCCCCACCCCTACCCCGCAGTGGCTGCAGGGCCCGCAGCACTCCTTACAGGAAGCCATGAGAGCAGGGCAGCCGCCCAGACAGCGCAGGCACCGGCGCTCAGCGAGCAGGGACCAGAGCACAGACCTACGAGCTGGGACAGGAGCCCCAGTCACCCTGGACACCAGGCCCACGTGCCTTCTATGCGAACCCCTCCCAGGCGATTCTTCTCAGTGCGATCAAGGCATAACCCAGTCCCTGTGATGCCACCATGTGTCAGAGGGGATGCTGCGAAGGCCACCTCGCCAGCAGCAAGGCCCAGCGAGCACTTGACCCTGGAGCTGGGCCGCCTGTGGCCCTCCACAGAGATGGGGCTCCAGCAGGGACCCTCCCTGGGAAGAGCTTTAACTAAAAGCAAACCCTGCCCAATAAAATCACCTTCCTCCCACCACCCACGTCAAGAGAAATCCTGATGTGTCCCCGCTCTGCGCCCACCCTCTCCTCTCCCGCCTGGAAACCGGACAGCAGGTGCGTCCACCACCTGGGATGTGCTGCACACCAGGCAGGCGGCCAAGAAGCCGCACACAGCCCGAGAGGCACACGGCGCACACACCAGGGCCCAGGCCAGAGCAGGAGGTGGCCTTCTGTTTGGGGACTGGGGGTGGGGAGGGGGTTGGTGGTTGTAATGGTGAGTCACCTCACCGCCCCTGTGTGCCCATCTGTAAAATGGGCAGCCTCGTCAACCGAAAGCCAGGCGCACAGTAGGTGCTCAGCCCCTCAGTAAACACATGGCCCTGCCCCAGCCCCCTAACACACCCCCTGAAATCCCCCTGAAAGGCTCCTTTAAAGTGCTTTTTCCCCTCAAAGTTAATGGGCAACACATTCTCACAAAGAGAAATGCGTTTTGGACGGCTCGGCAATGTACACAGACAACCACCACGGAATCTTCTCCTGGCCATGTCTGGGGGGCGGGGGGGCAGTGGCGAGGGCAGAAGAAAACCTCAGATGTTAAGCGTTATCCAATTAAGCTTTAGCTAAACAGCCCAACGAGATGGAATTTGGAGGCTGGGGTGCATTCTGGGAGACACTCAGAATGGGCGGAGGCGTGGGGACCTCCTGACCCATGGGGACCAGGCACTGGTGCTCAGTTCTGTCGGCATCCTTCACCACTCCCCCTGGAGCCGCCCCCCCCGAAAATGCCTTTTGGGGCAGGGGCTGCACGGCCCCCCTGGGTCCCCACCTTGCCCCGGCCCACCTGGGAGAGGCAGCTGCTAGCTCTGCCAGGGTGCACCCCACCACCCCCGGGAGCCCGCCCCCTCCACCGCGGCGTCTGTTACCTGACAACTGACACTGACATCCAAAAGGAGCCTCCGTGTGCCCCTCACCCTGAGTCCCGTCACCCGAGACCGGGCGCGCGCTGCAGCACGGCAGGGGGAAGCAGGGCGGCAGAGCGCCCAGGGCGCGCAGAGGTGAGGTGATCACGGATGTGTGAGGGTGGGAGGAGGAGGCAGCTATGGGGGCCATCGCGGGCAGCTGGGCAGGCCTGCACGGCCCTGGAGAAAAAACAATAGAAAAGACTGGTCAGTCGGGCCCTGGACTGTACACGGGGCTCGGGGTGCAGAACAGGGGCCCGGGGCAGAGGGCTGCAGGCCGCCCTTCCAGGGTGCCAGGCCCCGCAGGGAAGACCACCGGGGCACAGGCAGGGGCCTGGGGGTGCTACTTCCACAGCTGCCAGGTTGGGCTGTCTTAGGGCCAGGCTCCCCTCCCCGAGGGCCTAATGCAGGGAGCTGTCAGGGTGCCCACTCCCAGGTAGGTCCCCCTATGGGAGGGGGGGCTTCTGAAGTGCTGGGGAGCAGGCCCCATTGGGCATCTGTTCCCAAAAATCTGGGCCACCACCCACCCCCCGGGAAACTCCAGGCCACCGCTTGCTCTATCGGATGGCTGTCTGGACAGGCCCGGCCTCCCCCAGTCCACCTCGGAGCGCCGGGCGCCGGTTAGCTGGCGAACGGCCAGCTGGTGCCGCCCTGCAGCCCGAGGCCCTCCTCGGCGACCCACGCCCCCAGGCCTTTCAGAGGCTTTGAACACCCCCGAGAGAACCCTGGCACTGCCCAGCACCCCTCCTCATGCCTCCCTGGTCTGATGACCATGACGCAGGGCCAGGGGCCTGCCTCGCCTCAGCTCCCCGGCACGGCCTGCATTTGATTTGGCCGTTTATCTTAAATGGCTAAGAGACCACCAGGGCAAAACATTTGTGTGAAGCCCTTGCCAAAACCACAAGTGAAGAAGCCCAAATTCCCTGGGTGAATAATTGAGCGGGGAAGCATCAGAGAGACAAAAAGAAAACGTCAACAACACGACAGGCAGCTGGGCCCTGGGCCGGCTCTGCCAGGGAGGCCGCCCGACGCTGCTCACCGCCCCACGCAGGTCTGCAGGGGGGAGGGGGGGGGCGTCTGCCCACTCCACGGCCCCACGCGGGATCCTCCATCCAGAGAGCCACAGGGCCCTGCAAACCCGCTGCGAGCCAGGAGCCACAGTGTTCACCGCCCGTGAGTTTCCCAACATGCCCTGGGGTGAGGCATACGATACCCATTGCACAGACCAGGAAACTGATGACGTGGCCCCAGAAAGCTGTACACACCAGCAGCCTGGTTGCCTGGCCGCAGAACCGGGGTGCTCTGTCTGTAACCCAGGATTGGAGGGGCAGCAGGGCATTTAAGAAGACCTGCCAATGTCCTGCCGGGAGGTCAGAGCTAACCCCGCCACCTGGGCCCCTCTGGGCCACGGAAGACCTCCCACCAGGCTACGCCCAGGGCCCTGAGATGCTTCTGAGCTCAAGGCCCAGGAAGGGTGTGGCGAGGGCCCCGTACGCAGTTCCAGCCACAGACGCCGAGCAGAAGGCAATGCCCCAGATTCCAGACCGGCCCCAGGGAGGGTCGGCACTTGAGGCCGGTGTCACCTGCCCCCTCCTAGAAGCCTGCCCCGGCCAGTCCTGGCCTGAGAACCCGTCCACTACGGAGGCCTTGCCTACAGACCCCGGGCGGCTCTGCACACCCGTGGCTGTGACAGCAGCTTTGAGCGAAACACCGACCACAGCCACCCGCTCAGCAGGGAAGATCATCCCCGTCCCACGGGGAGGCGGAGGCTCAGGGAGGCTGGGAACCCGAACCCAGTTGCGTCTCTAAAGCCTGGAGGTGCCCTGCGGTGGGGTGGAGTGATGGGGCGGCCCTGGATCCCTAAAGGGAGGGGCTGTGGGGGAAAGGGGAGCTGGAGGGTCTGTGGGCTCAGCCAGGCCATCGGAGGTTGCAAACGAGCAAACGTGGGTGGGTCCCCAGGTTCTGGGTGAGGCCACAGCATTTCCCAGGGCTGAGAAAACCAGCAGAGCCCCCGGTGCTGGTGGCCCTGCCCAAGGCGGGAGCAAGCAGAACCTGTGCCTCCGTGGTTGGAAGGACCACAGGACAGTCCAGCCACACTCTCTCCTTCTGGGAAGGTCAGGCTCAGGCCCAAGTCAGGAAGGGTCCAGCCATCCTCACTCAGGGGGTGGGGACTGGGCTGCCCCTGGGGGGCCTCAGCACCTCATTAGGAATCTCCCCTAGCCAAGTCCACCTGCTCCCAGGTGGAGGCGGGCTCCACCGAGCCAGGGCAGGGGCCAGCAAGGCGAGGGGCTCCCAATCCTGACCTGCCTGCAGAGAACCCCTGCTTGGGGGGGTGGGGGGGGGGCGGTCACCGCTGGAGCAGTGTAAGCCTGCCCAAGGGTGCGACTCCAGAAGTCCTGGCCTGAAGCTGGGGCAGAAGCCCAAGGTGCTGAAAGGAGCCGCCTACTGTATGATCGCACGTGTGGGGAGAGTCCAGGACAGGCAAATCCAGGGAGAGCCCTGGATGGGAGGCGGGGAGGGGCATGAGAGGGTCACGGCGGGGTTGCTTTCGGAGGAATGAAAAGGTTCTGGCATTAAATAGTGGTGATGGCTGCCCAACACGGTGACTACACTCAAAACCACGACTCGTACCCCTTGAAATGGTTAAAATGGTGAATTTTTTGTTCTATGAATCTTATCTTCATTTTCTTCTAAAGGCCAACGTGAGGACTGTCTCTGGCTTTGTTGCCCATCCCAGGCCACCTCCCAGCTCTGGTTCCTTCTCAAGGAAAGCGTGTCTGCCTTCAAAGGTGCAGCCAGCGCCCGGCCAGTGTGGCTCAGTGGTTGAGCATCGACCAGTGGACCAGGAGGTCGCAGTTTGATTCCCGGTTGGGGCACGTGCCCCGGTGTCGGGCTCAGGCCCCAGGACGGGGCGTGCAGGAGGCAGCCGATCCATGATGTTTCTCTCTCGTCGATGTTTCTGTCTCTCAATCCCTCTCCCTTCCTCTCTCTCTAAAAATCAATAGGAAACATATTTTAAAAAAATAAAGTGCAGCAGCCAAGGGACCCAGAACCCCTGACAGAGCACTCAGACCCTGTGACCAGAGGCTGACACGTGCACGGGAAGCCGGGAGCTCAGAGAGAGGCTGCCTGGGAGCCCGAGGCCTGGGTTCTGATTCTCTCTCCTCTGCCATTTCCTGGGTGAGTCACTTCTCAGACTCCCGCCTTTAAAGGACAGTCCGGACATGCCTGGCCGGAACAGAGCTTCTAGTGAACACGCAATAACTGGTCATCCTGTTCGTTTATGTTATGCATCCATTCATTTCTTCATTCATTCATTTATTTATTTTCCTTTCTGGAACTCCCTCCCCACTCCCCATGGAAAGGCACCCTAGGGAGCCCTGCAGGGCCCTCCTGCAAAAAAAAAAAAAAAAAAAAAAATTTCTTTGGAGGTCTCGGCGGGTTCCCCGCTGGAACCGGACCAGACGCACGTGTGCGGTGGTATGTGGCAGAGGGACGCCGAGACGCCATCCTGGCTTTACCGGGATCCAGGCGGCTTAAAAATAAACCCCTGGCTGGCTGGCCTGCTTATCATGGAAGCTCACTTTCATTAGGGAAAGAGAAATAAACAGTGAATACATATATCATCTCATTTAAGCCCAGCAGCCGCCCGAGGAAGTCAATAACATGACCCCCCCTCCCTCTCACAGATGAGGAAGCCGAGGCTGGGTGCCCAGCACCACCCGGCTCAGGGGCATCAGCAACTCACTCTGTGCATCTGCACGAAGAGGCACGAAGATGCCCAAGCAGAAGACCCCAAAACGTTTCTTAAGCTCCCCATCAGGGTGTAAGGTAATTTTTAATGCATCGTTCCGAGGGGGGGTGTAACCCGCTCTCCCTTTAGGAGGGGCCCTGCAGATGGTGCGGCTTCGTTCCTCGCACATGCGCACTTCCGCGGCACACACACACACACACCGGCGCGTGGAGACACAAAAACCCTCCTGGGAACGCGGGGCCGGTTTTGAGGGGAATGGAGCCTTTGGAGAGGCTGAATCCTCGGGCGACCCTCCCACGTGGGTGGGAGGGTGACAGGTCCCAGCCAGGAGACGGGCTCTGGACTACACTGTGCAGATGTATATTTTTCTCCCTACCGGTGCCTTTCCATGGATACATTTTTTAAAGCCAAGAACTCCTACTGATAGTGCAAAAATGAGTCACAGACCCAGGAGGGCGACAGACAGACAGACAGACAGGGAGCCAGCGCCTGCCTGCGAGTGAGGGCCACTGGCAAGGAAACCTGACAATCCCGCGCCCCTCCCCCCATGCCAAGACATTAATTCTCACAAGTCGGAGAAAATTACTATGCATGAATGCAAAAAGCATGATCAGGAGTAATTAACATGGCTTCATATGCAAATTTTATTAATGCAGAAGTACAAAGTCATTATGCAAATGAAACTTACGTCAACTCTCTTGACAAATATTCATCGCTGAGGCTCAAGTTTCTCCCTCTTCATTTATTTATTTATTTATTTATTTATTTTTTCCTCTCTCTCTCTCCCCCCCCTTTTTTTTCCTGGGTTTTTTTGTTTTTGTTTTTTTAGGGGCCCAGGTAGTGCTGCTGGCCGCTTTGGCAGCAGCGAGCCACAAGGACTGTGTGACAAGTTTGCAGTTGCTTTTCAACCAGAGAAATTTATTCTTGCATTGTTGATTTTTTTTTTTTTTTTGGTAGTTGGCAGGTAAGAGACAGCTCATAGGAGAAGGGAAAAAAATAAAAAAATAAAAAAGCTCTGGGCAGCCGGCAGCCAATCAAAACGCCAGAGCCTGTAATGAGGGCGATTGATGGCTGTTTGGCTTTTACTGCAGGGTAATGAGGAGGGGGAAAAATATGAATATTCATGAGACTGTGCTCCTGCCTTTGATGATTAAAGAAATTTTTAATATTCAAATAAGCGCTTGCCAAGTGATTAACAAAGAACATGCACGCAGAAATATGGAAATGGGAGCCGGGGAAGATGTGAGAGTGGAACAGACTGCAGGAGAGGCAGCCTCAAATTTCATAAACAAGATAGGCAGATAACCCAGTTAGCACGCGGGCAAATAAAAACATTTCTTTCGGATCGCTTAAATATTTTGCCAGCTACTTTGTCTTAAGGATGATAAAAATGCTATGTATTAAGGAGGTGGGGCAGGCAGCGACG